CATTCCTTGTGTCCTGGTTCCCCCGGGTTTTCCCAGGTGCCAGTGGCCCACACCGGGAAGCGCCACGCCTGGTTGAATGGGTACCCACCGTCCTTAACACGGGTGTTAGAGTTTTACAAGTTTTCAGCCTTCAGGGTCAGAATGCAATTAGTCCTTTCCATTGAATGGAACAGGGGGAAGGGAACGAGAGGAGAGAGAGAGACGGAGGGAGACAGAGGGAGACGGAGGACGCTGGAGTAGACGTTGCGGAACCGTGTTCTTTCTCACCCAGGAGGCCTGCGCTCAGTACTGGGGAGAAGGAAAGCAAACATTCGGAGACGTAGAAGTTCAGGCGAAAGACACCACCGCGTCTTCAGGCTACACCCTCCGTGTGTTCGAGCTGAGACATTCCAAGGTAGATGAACTGTTCGTGGGGTGCAAAGCTTTTTTAAAAAATGATTTATTCATTTGAGAGAAATGGAAGGAGAGGGAGAGAGAGAGAGAGAAGCATCAGCGATGAGAGAGAATCACTGATCAGCTGCCTCCTGCACGCCCCCCACTGGGGATGGAGCCCACACCCCGGGCCTGTGCCCTGACTGGGAATCCAACCGTGACCTCCTGGTTCATGGGTTGATGCTCAGCCTCTGAGCCGGCCGGTGGGGGTCGGAGCGTAAATCTTTGATGTAAACAACCTGGTGTCCCAATAGTCACCAATGACCCCATGAGGGCAGAGCGCCCGTCGAGGTCCCAAGTTCAGAACAAAAGGTTGACAGGGGGTCCAGAGAGGACATGGTGCTGAGCGCGTGACTGTGCAATTAGTCCAGGGGCTGCCCCCATCCCGCCCTCGAGCTCACGTGCCCCCCGCTTCCGGTTTTAGAGGAAAGAACCCCGCACTGTGTACCAGTATCAGTACAGCAGCTGGGGCGTGGACGAGCTCCCCTCGGCGCCCAAGGAATTAGTCTCCATGATCCGGGACCTCAAGCAACAGCTGCCCCGGAGGAAGTCCGCGGATGGGAGCAAGCACCACAAGAGCGTGCCGGTCCTGGTGCACTGCAGGTGGGTGGTCCTGGTTCATGCAGGTGGGTGGTCCTGGCTCATGCAGGTGGGTGGTCCTGGTTCATGCAGGTGGGTGGTCCAGGTCATGCAGGTGGGAGGTCCTGGTTCATGCAGGTGGGCGGTCCTGGTTCATGCAGGTGGGTGGTCCAGGTTCATGCAGGGGGGTGGTCCCTGTTCATGCAGGTGGGGGGGCCTGGT